ATTGCCTCGTACAGACAAAGCTGAGTAATGTTTGTGCAGTCAGATCCATTAAGACGTGCCGAATTAATCAGTTTATGTGCGAAAAGAAATGGAAATTTTCGACCGTCGGGATTTATTCGTTGTTAAAATTAAGGAGTATCCGAGTATTAAAAAGTCGTAAACGTCAATACTTTCACTTCTTTACCAAATCTAAATTTACCATTCAATAAAAATCATCAGACATTTATGTTATAGAAAAATGCTTTCAATGCATGGTCCTTGGTGGATCCTTCGTGCGATTAATTTATGGTGTGGTATTTACGGTGAGGAAGGATTGAATGATTTTTTCTGACCTAATCCATCGTATACGTAAAGTAAAAGCATTCCAACTCTTGCTCAACAGCATTTTAATTTAATACAACAAAAAGCAAAAAGCAAGAAGAAAAATGTATTATCTAAAATGAATTTTATAATACTAAATAAAATCTTTTCACTTAATTAAGGTTTTGGTTGAGATAAAAAAGTCAGAGTCACAAGCGGGATTCGAACCCATGACCTTCAGCTAAATACGCCACTGCTCTACCACTTGAGCTACCGTGACTTCGATCCACTGGGACACCAACTTTCCATCTCAACCGCACCTTTTGAATTTTCCCTCCTTTTTGCCATTTTTCAAATTTTTTTTTGTCGTCGAGAATCCAATCCGATTACACGACATTTGAAAATTTTGAGCGGCATCGAATTTTCCCTCGTTTTTGCCATTTTTCAGTTCTTAATTCTTCTTCTTAATTAAAAATCAAATGGGAAAATTCAAAAGGTAGGGTTGAAATGGCGTATTTAATCGAAGGTCGTGTGTTCGAATCCCGCTTGTGACACTGACTTTTTTATCTCAACCACAACTTTAATTAATTGAAAAGAATTTATTTGGTCAAGCGGACCACGAAACCTAAAAAATTTAATAAAATGTTTTATTGCCGCAAAATACAAAGTACATGGCAAATACTCTACGTCAACTAAATACATAATTTAAAAATTTCAACATATAATTCTGCAGATTACAAATTCAGGAACTTCTCAATAATGTTTAAAGCATTCTGAAATTTTTCAAAAAATCCTTCAACGCTTGAATAAAGGCATATTCTCACAATTTTTAACATCAGGTTGAAGGGCGTTATAAATTATCGCACATTTTAAAACAATTTATACAATGATTCGTGTTCGTTTTACTGTGCAGCATATGTGTATTGTTAATATCTAAAATTACTAAGGACAGAATAAATAAGCATGAAATTGTCAGGATTCTAAATTTTTTTAAAAGCTCTCTACATGAGTCGAGATATCCAGTCCAAGACATAACAGGAATAATTCTTTTTTGAATAAGAAATACGTGTAAGCTACAGCCAAAAATGAGTCCGTTATTGAGAATTGTCTGAAACAGCTCGCATAAACCATTCTAATTACATTCGCATTTGTCGATCGCCTAAGCATTCCTATGGCAAAACAAAGCCGGCGGAGTTTAGGTTGTAGTTAGAAAATATGTTCCTCCCATGTTAACTTGCTGTCAAAGACAACAGACACCTCGTGAGGACTCTAGCCACCTACCGAGATGCCAGTCGAGGACAAATCAAGGAAATCGTGGAACAAATCTTGGGACTATTGTTTTCTCGTAACATCATGAGCAAGGCCATACTCCGAAACCCATCGTGTGCTTAATTTTCACCCTAACTTATCGGACGTACTCCACGCAACGAGCAAGAAGGCGTCGTCCGCAAACAGATAAAAACACACCCTCAGCGATCTGTACAAAACAATTATTATATATTTAAAAAAAGAGAGTGCCAAGTATGGAATCCTGTGGTACACCCTGCTTGGTTTGAATCTGGGACAATGTCTCCCCACTGAATTTCATCTTAGGGTGGCGACCCTGGAGTTAAAAATAATTTGATTTGAAAAATGGCAATAATAGGGAAAATTCGAAAGGTTGTAGGCTGAGATGAGTTGGTGTTCGAGTAAATCGAAGTCACGATAGCTCAAGTGGTAGAGCAGCGGCGTACTTAGCCGAAAGTCGTGCGTTCGAATCCAGCTCTTGAACTATCCTTTTCAACTCAATAAGACCTTATATAAAATGTATAATTACTTGAAATAATTAAGGGTAATAGTTATAACTGAGAACGATTGAATTTCTTGTACTGTTATTTTCTTGATTTGGCAAGGCGCTGTCCTTTTTGTCAACTATCGCCCTTTCTTTGCAAAGAGGAAAGGAGGAAGATAAATGGCAAAATCCAAAAAGGGTCGGTCAAGAAAGACAAATCGTTCCGCCCCAGGAGTTTCAATGATAATTGAATTGTTTGTGTAATACAAGTACACATTTTTTAAAAAATTCCTTTAAAAAAAATCATTTGTAACATTGTTTGCTCTGCAAAATTGACATTACACCACATTTATATCCATTAACCATTCGTTAGTACACAATAAACGTAATATACGGCTGAAAATTCAGATTAGCCTCACAAAGCTAGTGCTTTATAAGATATTAGCGCCTAACCCATAATTAATTACTTAACAATTAAATAAGCCAATTTAGTTTTAATTAGTCATTTTTGAGACACACTCTAAATACATACAATTATTCATATTTACATACCATTTATTCAATTAGGATGATGGAGTACTAGTTATTCCTCCATCAACCTTTACGGATAACTACTGAAGATAACTACTGAAATTTAGGGTCGATTGGGTGTTCAATATTCGTATTTGTACTACACATTCACTCTTGTAAATACATTCGCCACCGTTAACACAATATAAATCTACTTTTACATAATTAATAGTAACATTAACTACGATCAAAAAATGTATATATACGAAGACATCTCTGTTTTCTCCAAAAGTTGGAACAAGTAGAATTTTCATATCGGGTAGCAATCCTACTCGCTCTGTAACAAGCCAAGTAACAACTCCAAATTCTCATTGAGCACGCTTTCTCTGCATGACGAAGACATAAGCAGGCTTTGGCCCAAAAGGAAACGACCTTGTGTAACCTTGTGGTTGATCCTTCTAGGATTTAGACTCTTTGGGAGCCACCTATCGACCGTGATCTTGATGCGCCGAAGCTTTTTGAATGCCCGGTTCACTAATAGTACGATCTGGAGGGTAGGACGTCATGGCTTTCGCGTGTGACAGCCAGACAACTAATACCATCATTACTGTTTTTTGGAGACGTAACAGAAAGGATGGAGATGGAAGTAACCATAGAAACCATACCTAATTATTCTGAGACGCTCCAGCTCAGCGTATTTTTGGAACAAAGAGGGAATCCAAAAAGTATCCTTTACAGGTCACAACGCACTTAGGAAGACAGTGCATCCTACGTATCAGGAAGGTATAACTCCAACATCCGTGCACACTGCAATGTAGGGCTCGTGAAGTTGAAACTCCTATGGGATGGGCTATTACAGAATATATTTCTAGTAAAGTTTCCAAGCCTATAGTTCAGAGAAACAGTATTATTTCAAATAACTTCTTTGGTGGTTTATAGAGAAAAGCTAATTCATTATTGTATATCACTTTAACATTTAGATATTTATTTAGAAATCGTGAGATGCGGTCTGATGTGATTAGGTTTCAGAAAAACATTTTCTTTATCTTGCCAACGTTTCGATCTTTATTGAGATCATCTTCAGAGCCTGGGATTTACAAACATTGTTTTCTTATAACAATTACATTTTGGAAAAGTAAATTTATACAATGAAAAATATATTTTTTGAATATTCAATCAAAGTATTTCTACTCATTCAGAGTGTTTTTCTTCTGTGCAATTGTGCCATTCTTGCGTGTCGTGTCGAGAGTGCCAGTGAGATTTTGCTATTTTGTGTTTATATACGTTGGATTTTGAAGGGGTGGGGAAGGATGTCGGTATAGAAAAGACATTTTTGTATAAGGCGTCGGCTTCTTTGAGGTGAAAAGAGCCGAGGAAGGCAAAAAATGTGTTGGTAATGGTTCGGCCAGATTATCCTTTCAGGATTATATAGAAACCCCTTCAAAATCCAACGTATAAAAATACAAAATAGCAAAATCTCACTGGCACTCTCGACACGACACGCAAGAATGGCACAATTACACAGAAGACAAACACTTTGAGTGAGTAGAAATACTTTGATTGAATATATAAAAAATATATTTTGCATTGTATAAATTCACTTTTCCACATCCAAAACGTAATTGTTATATGTAAACAATGTTTGTAAATCCCAGGCCCTGAAGATGATCTCAATAAAGATCGAAACGTTGGCACGATAAAGAAAATATTTTTCTGAAACCTACATCACATCCGACCGCATCTCACGATTTCTAAATAAATATCGATTAATGGTCACTGATCACCACACATTACCATTTAGAGCTGTTCTTGTTAATAAAAAAAAAAAGAAGTTTTAGGGAAAATTCGCTTCAGACTAACACAAACGTTAACAAAATGGTGTAAATAAAAAATTAATGCACTTAAAATAAATAGAGATTTTATGTTTTATTATTTTCGTAAATATATTACGTTTTTTGGTGGTTTATCAGTTTCTGTACGTGATTTTGTTTTAATAAATAAACCTACAAATGCACCGTAAAATTGTTTTTAAAAAATTTCAGGCCATTAGATGTCATAAATAGAGAAATAATTAAAAGATCCTAATTCTAAATTTGATTTAAATCATTCAAGGTTAAGAGTTCATTGCCTTTGTTAATAATGTTTAGAACCAAGAATAAAAATTTAATATAATCTATTATATAAAATTAATATTCTGGCTGGTTTAAACAAGTAAAATTGATATTCGTGATAAATCACAAATTGAAAAGATTAAAGCACACTTTAATAGCGTTTAATTTAATTAGAACAATTTGAAAATATTGTTTTAAAGGAGCCACAGTTTTTAACTTGAAGGAAATTAAATCTACAACCCGATTATTCTGTTGTCTTGCCGTATTAAGGTCACTAATTCAAAAATGTATTGTATGTTTTGTTCCAGGAGGGATGAGCTGATGAACTGATGTATGAGGTGAGAAGAAGAAGACTGGGAAACAAAGATGGATAATCTGTAAGTACAGCCGTCTCTCTAATCGGATTATTTCGAAATAACTCTTTCGCGCGCAATCAACCGATGGGAAACTTTGTTTCGTGGAAATGCTTGACGCCCGCGTCGCTTGACTTCTTCTTTTGTGGACGAGTCGCTATTAGCTGAAATATTGGAAGGTCTTTACAGAAAGCGTGCAACGAACCGACACAGTTTTAAGTATTTGAGAACTTGGTTTCCAACGATCCAACTTAGCTTTTCTAAGCTTTCCTTCGGCCTTTAAATTCCCGTTTACAAAATAATTACAAAAGGAACTCCTATTACGTCTTACTCCTTGTTCTCACTTTCTTTCAAAAAACTTTTTAAAAGAAAAATTAAATATATGCTGGCAATATATAATTATTACTGCATGCTGTAATATGAAATCCATTACAGCAAATTGAATTTAATAGTTTCTAAAGAATGATATTCCTGGTCTATTAATAATCCTATCCGACGCATTTCGTCTTTCATCAAAATAAATGTTAGCCGCAAAGAAAATTGGATACAGCCGAACAACCCCACTCAGTAGAATTGATGAGCTATGTGTTGGCTACGTATTGTTCAGTCGGTCGAAAAGCAGAAAAACTTTTCTGAATCTCTTTTTTCACATACTCATCATTTAACAAATTCTTTCAGTCACACAGAGAATGTCTATCGTTCAAAAGCAGACACGTTCAATTTGGACAATATAAAACGGTTTTTCTATCTACACAACACTGCAAATTAACGAAAGAATTGTTCATTACATTAATGAAGCCGTAATTTATTTTTCTAAAAAAAAGATCTTTAGTGCAAATTTATAATTTGCACAACTCTCCTCATTCTGGTCTTGTTAAAGTTCAATGCAAATTATCGAGCTAGGCGGACTTGAAATCGCATTACACCTGAAAATCCGGCGTCCAGACGCTTTATTGGTTTATTTTTACATAATGTGTAAACATAATCACCACTCCTTGATAGAAAATTCTTTCAGCGTGTAACTTTAAAAACACTTTAAGAGACATTTGTTATAAGTGAGAGAGAAATAAGAAATCAATGTGGATTTTAGGAGGCAAAGTACAGCAGGGTAAGAAGGGCATTCCCATGAGTACTTTAGGAGCAGTGCGCTGCTGTGAATAAAACATGTCATAGGAAGGCTGCAAATGCGATCCGGAAAGTGGTTATTGTAATTTGGCTTGATTATATCAATAGAACATTTTTTTTGTTTAGCTCTAGAATGAAGTAATGAACGGGCAAAACACTATAATAATACTCCGTACGATTCTCTTGAATTCGAAAAATAAACTAAATAATACATTACATTTGATAAATTATCTATTTGTTAGCGTTTGTAAGCAATGTAAATTCGTGATTTAAATATTTATGAATTTCTCGCCCTCTCTAGTTTTCATTAATCTTTTATCATAACACAAAATACAATGATGTAAAATTTAACGCAGCACTCAATTTATTTAGTGTAAAATTAAATCCATTACCTTTATACATTAGTTATAGGCAATTAGGATCGATCGTAGTCAACATAATCAATAAATAATGCTTTGTTTACTTCTCACATTTACTTTTGTACTGATCAATGCCATTTACACAAAAAGTATGTGTCACATTAAACACTTCCATTTTGCTACGCGTAAAGATTGCTTACAGTTAATCTTTTTCCTTCGTTGATTTCATACGATACTATTCTTATTTGTTACCGTACAAAAACGTTTTTTCTATACCGAATTCCTTCCCCACCCCTTCAAAATCCAACGTATATAAACACAAAACAGCAAAATCTCACTGGCTCTCTCAACACGACACACAAGATGGCACAATTACACAGAAGATAAACACTTTGAGTGAGTAGAAATACTTTGATTTCATATAAAAAATATATTTTGCATTGTATAAATTCACTTTTCCACATCTTAAATGTATTTGTTAATTGTAAACAATGTTTGTAAATCCTAGGCCCTGAAGATGATCTCAATAAAGATCGAAACGTTGGCACGATAAAGAAAATGTTTTCTGAAACCTACATCACACCAGACCGCATCTCACGATTTCTGAATAACTATTCTTACTTTTAATACTTTCTCAATGGCTCCAGTCAGGCATTTGAGTGAGTATGACCGTGTCATAGTCAAAACATTATTAGAGTGGGGATACATCGAGCTCCTCAGGATACAGTCGCCAGTAGACTGAGGAGTAAATCACTCTACAATAGCCCCGGACAAGGTTGGTCTAGGTCTCCAGACGAGAGAGACATTCGTCCATCGTCAGGGTCTATGAAACCGCAGGATTTCGGGATGAATAGACCAAGATAAATGAGATAAAAAATCTATTAAGACAAGTCAGAAATGTGCCGATTTCCTCCAGGACTGTAAGAACAAGGCTCAATGAAAATAACCTCCTGGCCCGGCGCCCAGTTCGTGGTCCTTCTTACCACAACTCAGAAAAGGGCCAGGCTTCAATTCGCACGGGAACATGGGGTAAATTCTCTTAGCCTAAAATTTTCAGATGGGCGTAATTTCGTATGGAAACGCTCAGAAGAAAGGTAGCCCCATGCTGTACCTGTAAGGTTCCTCAGATGGGTCGTTGATGTTCTGGGCATTTCCTTGGACACCTGCGAATTGGTTGTTGTACGAGGAAGATCTCTAACCTCACATAAGTTCCAACAAGACATAATAGAAGAACTAAAAAAGGTGACCGCTCATTTTAACATATTAAACTTTTCTTTTACCTAATAAAATTAATAGTTGTCTTAAAAATAGTGATATTTTATTTTGTAATTAATCGATTGTACTCATTTGTAAAAACAATACGTACATACGATAAGGTCTTACGGACTGGAAGTGAAGGGTTCAACGAAACGTTCCAACATCCACCGCACCCAAACTGTCCATGAAAATCCATTATTCTCCATTTTTTATATCAAACGAAACTTAAATTTACAGACTTAGATTTACCATCCGTTTAAGGTGAAACTGCCTTTATCGAAAATCATACAAAACTCTCCTAACTACTCGTTTCATTAATCTAATGTTGATATCACTAATGTTTCCTCAAGATTCCTTATTTTATTGTTATGGGTAACAGAATTAAAGGCAGTTTTAATATATTAAAAATTTTAAAAACTGAGTACAAATATACAATTAAAATTGATAGTCTATTTAAAATATACAAATAGATAACGACAACAGAGTATGTTTTAAAGTTTATAAATTATGCATTAAAGAACAAATACGAAATAAAAAAACTTATTATACAATCAACTTTAAATAGCAAAAAATTAATTCGATTTTTTTTTGTTTAGTTAGTACATATAATTTTTTTTCTCTCAGCTTATATCTGCTATTATCCAGAATGTTTCAAAAGACCCTACATTTTCTGTAAAATTGAAAATAACTTTGCCATAGGTATTCGGGTGGGAGTAGCCTTGTTGTAGCCCACCAGTTTTGAACTTTAAGTACCTCAATCTCAGGCATTATTTTTCTGAGTGGTTCCTCTTTGATCGCAAGCAGAAAAAGTCTGAAGTATAAAAAGTGAGAAATAAACAAGTTATAGAAAAGCGGATAGGCAGATGTCCAACATCAAACAGTTTCATAGAAAATTCCAGGCATCGGAAGTTGAAACCTTCGATCAATCGCACTAAAAAAATATTTTCCAACAATTAGTTTATTCAATACATTTAACTCATAAATATTATGTATTTTGACGATCTTTTCAGGCAAAATAAATATTAATAACTAACAATGGAAGAAAATACAAATTTTGTGCATTAAACCAAACGTGCAATTTGTGCGAAATAATGGTAGTTAGTCTCAAAAGACTCCCATTACATGATTCGGATTGCTGACCTGGTTTCATTGCCATCGGAGGTAGCAAAAAGAAGATGCTGGAACATTTAGTACTTTTACTACCTCTTTTAGTCCTCTAATTCAAAATTTAAGCTTGTGAACCGAGCAAACTACTTACTTTATGCTTTCTCCTAAACCACCACATATATTACAAATTTTCTAGCAGTCTGCACTGTGGTTTCTCCATTCGCAATAATAAAAATATCATTAAATATCAAAAATGAACTATTTTCCTCTAGTAAATTGGCAAAAGATTTTAATAACTGTATCTCGAACGAAACTGTCTTATAAACCTTAAGGTATCCCTTTTCGGAGTATGTAATTATTAAATTAGTTATTAAAAATCGAATTATTAGAAAACACCCAACATAAAAATCTTAAAACTAAGCACTAGCTAATTTTTATGAAAGGTATTGGTTGAGAGAAAAAAGTCAGTGTCACGAGCGGGATTCGAACCCTCGACGTTCGGCTAAATACGCCGCTGCTCTGCCACTTGAGCTATCGTGACTTCGATCCGCTCGGACACTATCTTTCCATCTCAACCTCACCTTTTTGAATTTTCCCTCCTTTTCAATTGTCGTTCATTCTCGGCTGAACGGAGAGCTTGGAGATATACTTCATTTATCTTATTAAATTCATTAGTTTTCGTGGTCCGCTTGACCAAATAATATATTTCAATTAATTAATCTGTATCTAAGGTATTGGTTGAGATATAATGGCAAACAGGAGGGAAAATTCAAAAAGGTAAAGTTGAGATGGAAAGTTAGTGTCCGAGCGGATAGCTCAAGTGGTAGAGCAGCGGCGTATTTAGCCGAAGGTCATGGGTTCGAATCCCACTCTTGTCACTGACCTTTTTATCTCAACCAATACCTTTCATAAGTTTAATTAATTGAAAAAAGTTATTGGCCAATCGGACCACGAACAATAATGTACTAAGCACTAGATTAACTCCTAACAAAATTTAAAAACACATGAAATAGAGTTTAAATTGTTTTGTGATTTGTAAAGCTACATTGAACTGTCTGAAATATCGACTTTTATAAGATGGATATAAAAGTCATTGATGTTTCAACCTAAATACACTGTAAGAAGTAGTAGATAAGACCACCGTAATATAACATTT